AGGCCCGAGTTTGTAGCAAAGATCTAATTAACAAATTAACAAATTCTATATTGTCAATTATTTAATTCATAGTTTATTTAAAATTTAAATTATCAATTAACTGAAATCATGATTTTTTTTATTATTTAATGGAAATTTATAGCTTCAATTGTTAAAAAAATGTCCACTGATTTGTAAAGTTAGAAATTAATTTCAAGAAAGTGGATTTTTATTTTTGTCATATCATTTTTAATTGTTAAAGAAATGTCGGAAAATATTGCATGCATTTCTATTGTCATTTCGTTTCAGCTACTGGAGATGCTGAAATTCTATGCGAGATTCGAGATCAGTGAGGAGACTGGAGATCCACTCACAGATCACGACATGACGCAGTTGCATTATACAAAAATCACATCTCTGCAGGTAAAAATAAGGATAAAAACATTACATCTTATCATCAGTCATTCGTTCATTACGAAATCACGATAATTATCAATTTCACCAAATAATTTCCCTATTTCTGAACAAAACACCGTAAGGTTCAATTGAAAATTTTTCAATGGGAATTGAAGCATAATAATTAACAATTGAATTTTATCCGAAAAATTGAAAACACCGTTGGCATCGCAACACTGTGTTTCTCTACATTAAACTGTTCTCCGAAAAATCATCAACACTCTGCGAATCTCGTTCCAGAGAGCGGTTTAATAATGATGTTTCTAATCATCTTAACTTTCGTTCATCACTTCATTCAGTTTTTAATCTTCAAAACTAGCACATTTTTAGTCGAGTTGAGTAGTCTTTGTGAGATAGAAAATATATTTTAAATCATTGCGAATTTAATTTTCTGCACAAATGGTTATTTATGCAGAAAAAGAAAAATATGCAATAATATGTAAAATATGTGATAAAAATATATAATAACAATTAATAATTAAATTTTACCTAAAAATTGAAAACACCAAACGGTTTGATGTAGAATAAACGCAATGTTTGCATCGTAAAATTATGTTTATTCTACCTTAAACTATTTCCCGAAAAATCCTCAACATTCCTCGAATCTCGTTCTAGCGAGCGGTGTTCGCTAAATTCCCGGACCTCCGTAGCTTCGCCCTGGCGAATGTGGCAAGCGTGGACACCCGTGACGCCCTCCTAAAGCACTTTGGTTTCCTCACCCAAGAGAAGCTGAAAGCAATCGCGAGTTACTTGAACCTGGTGCCCCCGGAGGACCGGCTGAACGACGAGAACTGGTATCGCCTGGACATGGACTTTCTCCAGGAGCTCTTGATCTCCCGCCACGAGCGTCGCGCCTCCCAACTGGAGGAGCTCAACGAGATGCCCCTGTACCCCACCGAGGACATAATCTGGAACGAGAGCATCGTCCCCACCGAGTACTTCTCAGGCGAGGGCTGCCTGGCCCTTCCCAAGCTCAATCTTCAGTTTCTCACACTTCACGACTATCTACTCAGGAATTTCAATCTCTTTCGGCTGGAGTCGACCTACGAGATACGCCAGGACATCGAGGACTCGGTCTCACGGCTCAGCCCCTGGAAATCGGAAGACGGTGGTGTCTACTTCGGTGGCTGGGCCAGAATGGCTCAACCCATAACGCAATTCGCTGTTGTCGAAGTCGCCAAGCCGAATATTGGGGAGAAACGACCGTCGAGGGTGCGGGCTGATGTCACGATTAATCTCAGTGTCAGGAGGGAGATTAAGTCCGAGTGGGAGAACCTGCGGAAGCACGATGTGTGCTTTCTACTTACCGTGAAACCACTCAATCCGATTGGCACCAAGTACAGTCACAAGGCACCTTTCGTACCTCAGGTGGGGATTTTTTTTTAATCGATTTGGCTCAGAATGGAATCAGATAAAAATTGAATGAAAAACTGCATTTGAAGTTGCAAATGAACAATTTGTTCATTTCAAATGAATCATTTATTAATTTCAAATAGACAGTTTAGTCTTTAAATGAAGTTTTCTCATTTTAAGGGCTTTTTTCTTAAGATTTTTGCCTTTGAATGGAACATGCGGAAAAAATGTTGATTTGAATGAATTAAAAATCTTTATTTGAAATTTTTTGTTTCAAAAGAAATGATCTAATTAAATCAAATAAGCAATTTATTAAAATCAAACAGACTAATTTGAATTTATTCATTTCAAATGAAAAATTTTATTTTATTTATTTTTTCTCAATGTTTTGCACCGAATGGACCGCCCAGAAAAATTGTTTATTTGAATGACATAAAAATCTTTATTTGAGATTCTCTTATTATTAATTAAGTAAATGTACTAATTTAAAAAAAATTAAATTCAAATCGACAATTTATTACCTTCAAATAAAGACTTTTCTTATTTCAAGAAAATCACATTCTAAATTACGAAATTATGTTTCCAATAAATTTTCACCAAGTTGTACAAAAAACTATATTCATTTAGAATAAAAAAAAAATCTTGACATAAGAAAAATGTCAATTTATGTTGTACGTTGTGAGTACGGCCACAATTAAATAAAGTGATATTTTGTTATCGTCCCTCAGGTGGGATTGACTTACGTCAGAGGGTGTGAGGTCGAGGGAATGCTCGATTCCAACGGAAGGGTCATCGAAGATGGTCCAGAGCCGAGGCCCATTCTCCCTGGTGATGCCAGGACCTATCGAGTCTGGCTGGACTCCAATCAGTACAGAATTGATATGGACAACGCCAGTCACGGATCTGAGGACGTCTACGAGTCCTTCAACATAATAATGCGTCGAAAGCCCAAGGAGAATAATTTTAAAGCTGTTCTCGAGACAATTCGAGAGCTCATGAATACCGAGTGCGTCGTACCGGACTGGCTTCACAACATAATTCTGGGTTACGGTGACCCTGGAGCAGCTCGTTACGCAAGAATGCCCGACGAGATTCCGACGATGGACTTCAATGACACATTTTTGGACATAAATCACCTCCGCTCGAGTTTCCCAGGGTACGAGATAAGGATGAAGCAGACTGAGGAGGAGCGAAAGCTCGAGAGGCCCTTCAGGCTGACCTTCGAGGATGTCGTGGCCAAGCAGGAGAACCGAGAGGAAAATAGGACAATCACGGTGGAGCCACACGTGCCCCCCAGCAGGGGACCCTACAAGGCCAATCAACCCAAGAAGAATCAAATTCCCTTCACCCCAACTCAGGTGGAAGCCATTCGCGCTGGAATGCAGCCCGGCTTGACTCTCGTTGTTGGACCTCCTGGCACTGGAAAGACTGATGTTGCTGTGCAGATAATCTCCAATCTGTACCACAACTTTCCCAATCAACGAACCCTCATTGTCACTCACTCCAATCAGGCGCTCAATCAACTCTTCGAGAAGATCATGGCTCTTGACATCGATGAACGGCATTTACTGCGTTTGGGTCATGGCGAGGAGGCCCTTGAGACGGAAAAGGACTTCAGCAGGTAGAGTTTTATTTTAAGGACATGGGGATTCTGTAAGAAAATTTAGGGAATTTTTGGGGAACTTCTATTGAAAGTTTCATTTTCTCGATTTTATTTTAAAAAATTTGTTGCATTTCAACTTTCTATAGAATTTTTTATATTGAGGTATTTTCTGTAGAAATTCCTTAATCGGGAATTCTATAGAAAAATCGATTAGATTTTTTTAGAAAATTTTATTAGATTTCTATCGGAGTTCTATTGAAAATTCTATAATTTTCTCTATTTTATGAAAAAAAATAGTTGTATTTCAACTTTCTATAGAATTTTTTATATTGAGATATTTTCTGTAGAAATTCCTCAACGGGGATTCTATAGAAATATCGATTAGATTTTTTTAGAAAATTTTATTCGATTTCTATTGAAGTTCTATTAAAAATTCTATAATTTTCTCTATTTTATAAAAAAAAATTGATTGAATTTCATCTTTCTGTAAAACTTTTTCTAATTATTTTCTACACAAATTTCTCGACATGAATTTTCCAATTTTTTTCTACTCCATTTTTCCTCTCCCCTCATTATAAAAATCAATCAAAAAAACTGAAACTTTGCGCCAGGGAATTTCTCTACAAAACATCTCAAAAGAAAGAATTGCATAAAAAAATTAACTATTACTGATTTTTTCTATACCTTCATTTCAACTCTCAATTACTCATTTCCTCATCTATTATTATCAATTTTATTTGTTTAAAGGTATGGAAGAGTGAATTACGTTCTCGCCAAGCGCCTGGACCTCCTGATGGACGTCCAACGTCTCCAGGAGTCCCTAGAGGTAAAAGGAGACGTTGCTTACACCTGCGAAACAGCTGGCCACTTTTTCAAAGACCAAGTGATGACACGCTGGGAGAGATTCGAGGAGAGAATAAAGAATAGATCATCGGGAAGTGAAGAAATCCCAGTGAACATTGTGGACGAGGAGTTTCCATTTCACAAATTCTTTGACAATGCTCCCCAGCCACTATTCAAGAAGAATCTCTTCGAGGAAGACCTGGAGATTGCCAGGAGTTGCTTCAGATACATAGAGAGGATTTTCACTCAGTTGGAGGAGTTCAGGGCATTTGAGCTCCTCCGATCGGGTCTGGACAGATCCAAGTACCTGCTCGTTAAAGAGGCCAAAGTAATCGCCATGACCTGCACCCACGCAGCCCTAAAACGTCGCGAACTAGTGGACATGGGATTCAAATACGATAATATTCTCATGGAGGAGAGTGCCCAGATATTGGAGATTGAAACGTTCATTCCCCTGCTCCTTCAGAATCCCCAGGACGGCTACAATCGCCTGAAGAGGTGGATAATGATTGGTGATCATCACCAGTTGCCACCAGTGATAAAGAACATGGCTTTTCAGAAGTACTCGAACATGGAGCAGTCGTTGTTCGCTAGGTTTGTTCGTCTGGGTGTGCCCACTGTTGATCTCGATGGCCAGGGGCGTGCGAGACCGAGCATCTGTGACCTTTACAACTGGAGGTACAAGAAACTGGGAAATTTGACGCATGTGGAACGATCTCCAGAGTATCTAGTTGCGAATGCCGGATTTTTGTACGACTTTCAACTTGTCAATGTCGAGGACTTCAATGGGGTTGGGGAGAGTGAGCCCAGCGCTTATTTCTATCAGAATTTGGCTGAGGCTGAGTACTGTGTCGCTGTTTTTATGTACATGAGACTGCTGGGGTATCCTGCTGACAAGATAAGCATTCTCACAACTTATAATGGACAGAAACATCTCATTAGGGATGTTATTAACATAAGGTGTGCTAATAATCCACTTATTGGGAGACCCAGCAAGGTGACGACTGTTGATAAGTATCAGGGACAGCAGAATGACTATATTCTGCTGAGTTTGGTGAAGACTAGGGCTGTGGGACACTTGAGGGACGCCAGGCGTCTTGTTGTCGCCATGTCCAGGGCTAGACTTGGATTGTACGTATTTGCCAGGGTCTCGTTGTTCAAGAATTGTTTTGAACTGACACCTGCCTTTGATCAGCTCATGAGGAGGCCCTTGAAACTACAGCTGTTGCCACATGAGGTTTATCCTACCAAGAGGCTGAATGATGAGGAGCCCAGTGTACCGGCCATGGAGATCGAGGATATGCCACATGTGGCGAAATTTGTTTATGATTTTTATATGAATAAAGTCAGTGGGATGAAGGAGGCTGCCAAGGGCTGGGCCAAACCTGGGAGCACTCATGAGGCTGTGGGACCTGAACATCATGTGCCAGTTCATCCTGGCGCCGATGATGGGGCCTCTGATGATGAGGGGGAAATGGTTGGCGGCGGGGAGGGGGAGGGGGGAGAAGTGCAGATGCATGAGCCCATTCAGAACTTGGTGGAGGAACCTATGGAGGAGGTTTGAAGTGGTTGTGTACAATTTTGTGAATAAATCGAGGGGTTTTGGAACAGTTGGAGTGGTTTTCTTTTGGCCTTTACCGTACAACACCTTTTGGTTTTTCGGTTGGCTTGAAAAACCAATTGATCAGTTGGAGGTGTTTTACTTATTTATTTATCAATTACTGTCAATATTATATCTGTAAAACGTATGGTATTTCTTCATTATTGTCTTTATAATTCTGGGAAATTTATCATGTTTATGACTTTGCAGATATGAAGGACTGCTCCATTTTCCCCAGAGAGTCAATAATGAGGACAACAAATTTTACTCTGAACCCTCGGTTTAATTGACGTAGCTCAAACAGGAGTGGTTGATACTTGAGACGCTTGTCCTCTTCTTTAGCTGTTATATTGCTCTTAGCCGGGGCCGAGAACTCAATGACATAGATGATTTTGTCATCAAAATCGAAGAGGAAAAGGATGTTATTATTATTATTATACATGTTAAAATGAGTACCACTCGCAGAGTAACTGAGATGAGTCTTTTTTTATTTCGTCTGAGTTACATGAGTTTTCCCCGGAAAATTGAGGTAGATGAGTTTTATAGGGAATTCTGAGATACCCATGTTTCAAAAATAAAAATGAAATACGGTTGTTTTATTAGGAAATGTCGAAATAACGTAATATTTTGGGATTCGCTGAACATTCAAATGAATGTGTTAAGTTGATCTAATCTCTTTTTAATTCAATTTCCAATCCATATCCATCAATAGTAAAATCAACCGCAGGTAAGAATAAAAAAAAGAGCAGCGTCGTCCATTTTATTTAATTATAAATTCTAGCTAAAAGACTAAAATTCTTGTCCTTCGACGCAGGTAACATCTCCGGACATAACAAGTCTGAGGACAAAAAAAAATGAAATCCAGTTTCTACTCCGATGGTAATTCCATTGGCTCTGAATATCCGCCAATAGAATATGAGACAGAGTCGCCCCCTGGCGTTATATCCTAAACCCCCATTCGAAACCGATCAAGAAGAAATGTAAAAACAACTCACGGTTTATATTTAAACTCACCCATGACTCACTCCGCACACTCCTTTGCTCCCAGTGACATCATCACAGTCTGAATCGTAAATACGTCCTCACAAGAATGAACAATCTCTGAGTGAGAATGGAGGGTCCTCGTACACCAATGGATAACCTCCTGAACGTGCTCTCGGGTTTCTCCGTGGGTCACGAGAAGGCCCTGAAGCAGGGCATCTACAACGCAGTGGCCCTCCTCGTCCTCTTCCTGACGTGCGCCGCCACCTACGGCCTCTACCTCATCCTGCACCCCTTCGTGAAGCCCCTGATATGGGCCCTCCTCTGCGGAAGTGTTCTCTTTCCCTTCAAGCTCTACATAACTACATCCGTGCAGTCCTGGTTCACGGAGACGGAGAACTCTCACGAGCCCCTGCTGATGCACCTGGCTATGGTCCCCATCAGGATAGCTGACAGGCAGGGATACACGCGTGAAAAAATTCTATAGGAATTCTATTGGGTTTCTATAGGATTTCTATTGAAAATTATATTTTAATTCTACTTTTATAGAAAATTCTATTGGAATTCTATAGAAATTATATGGGGGGGGGTTCTATAGAATTTCTATAGAAATTGTATGGGGTTTTCTATAGGATTCGTATTGGAATTTGATTGAAAAGTCTATTTTAATTCTAAACCCCCCATTCTATAGAAATTCTATAGACCCTCCCCCATAATTTTAATTTGAATAGAAATTTTAATTTGCCAATAGAAACTTTAATCTATAGAATTTCTATTGGCAGTCTATAGAAATGATAGAATTATATGAATTTTATGGGGGGGGTATATAGAAATTCTATAGACTGACAGTAGAAATTCTATAAAGGGGGTCTATAGAAATTATATGAGGGAGGGTCTATAGAATTTCTATAGACCCCCTATAGAATTTCTATTGGTAGTCTATAGAATTTCTATAGACCCCTCCCCCTAAAATTCATATGATTCTATCATTTCTATAGACTGCCAATAGAAATTCTATAGATTAAAGTTTCTATTACCAAATTAAAATTTAATTAATCAATTAAATTTAATTAATTAAATTAACTTAATTTAATTAAAATTTTCATTAAAATTCCCATTGATTTCTATTTTCTATTGGCAGCCTATAGAAATTTTATAGAACTATTCTATAGATCTATTCTATAGAAATTCTATTTTGATAGAACATTTCCACTCAAATTAACCCATCTAATATTAAATTAGGTGGGTTAATTATTAAATTAGTGTTTTGGTTGTTCTTAATTGACCCTTCCATACTATCAATTAATTCATTCAACGTCAATCGAACATTTAGATACCACTCATTTCACTAATGTGAATCACTTAACCAATGTGAATCGCGAGGTATTGAGGAATTCTGATTGATGGCCATCTCTGCTGACAGGATCTCCAATGCAGTTGGAAGTTTCCTTCACCAGCGGCTGAACTACGTGGGCGCCCTGGTGGGAGTCATCTCTGGGATGGTCATGATCTACTGGTACACCCCCAACATCCTTCTCTGCCTGATCTGGCGGTGCCTCCAGATCCTCGTGGCCCTTACCTCCGTCTTCATCGACACCTGCAACATCTACATCATCTCGACACTGGTGATCGGGTACCTCTCCATCCTCTACGTGTACTGGACCCCCAGGAACGCCCAGCAGTTCAACTACATCTCCATCGTCCTCTGGTTGATAGTCTCCCTCTACGTCTCCAACATCCTGGGGGTCTACCAGGTCGCCGTCTTCGTGGCCCTCCAGACCCTCTGCATCATCGGTTTCACGTATGAAGTCATTCTCATTATGGAGACTAAGGATGCACTGGGGAAACCGCTGACATTCGCTGAGGCTGTCCAGGTTGGTTGGAAATATAAATAGCCTGTTGTCTCATCATATTGTAAATAATTTATATTTTATAAAAATCGGTGGAAAAATATCAGTGGAATTTTCGGATTTCTATTGAATTTTTTATATTGAGACGTTTTCTCTATAGAATATTTTCCATTAAACAAATTTCATTGGATTTATATTGAAAATTCTATTGATTTTTGGTCGATTCTATTGAAAGTGTCCAGTAGACACTATTCTACCGAAACAAGAATTTCAGATTTCTATAGAACTTTTGCTATCGATACATTTTCCGTAAGAATTTCTTGGCATGAATTTTCCAAGTATTTTCCACTCTATTTTCACTAAAAAGTCAGTGTTCCTATAGAAAATATTCCAGGAAAATGAGTTGCCCACAAAAACCAAATTATCTTAATGGTTTCTATAGAATATTCCCCCTCCCAATTTTTATTGGATCAGAGTGCCGATAGCCTGCGGAGAATTCTCAATAGAATCTACCAAAAACCCTAAAAAAACTCAATAGAATTTTCTAACAAAAATTCCTTACCAATTTTTCTCCGGAATTTCTTCACACGTGACATCATCATGTAAAAACTTCTTCATTGCGCCATTAGCAATACTAATTTAATAATTAAAAGGCATTTATCTGAGCGATTAAAAATTTTTTTTCCATAAAAATTAATTTGTTTATTTCGATTCATTAATCAGATGGCTCTGACAGGAGAGGAAGCAGCCCCGGAGCCTCGATCCTCTGAAGAGCGTGAAGAGGCCGACTTCTTCCCCGAGACGTCGACTCCCAGGCTCTCGCCAGACGACATAAAGGAGCCCCCGCCCTCCGTTGCCAAAAGGCCCTTGAAACTCTCAGGGAAATCCGTCTCCCTGGACGCAGACGTGGAGAACGTGAGGACCAGGAGAGCCTCCGGACGATCCTGCAGCTTCCCGAACTCCAGGGTCACCCCTCGTGAGAGGTACTTCCTCAGGAAACTGCGGACTGAACTCAGGATGTCCCTCGACGCCCCTGAGGACGAGGTGGACACCGACAAGTACATGTACGGGGCGTTTTACGCGTGCGGGGGAATGCTCCTCTGGAAGAACAAGTGGATCCTCACGATTTTGACTCTGCCCATCGTCTGGTATTTCCTGAAGCTCCTGGGGAGACGTTCGGGCTTCTGGAGGTACGTCCTGGCGCAGGTCGAGAGGCTCATCGGTGTCGTCAAGGTAAATAGATGGATCAAATGCACTTGACTATTCTCTTACTGCGAAAAATTTTATTCTATTGAATTTTTGGTGGGTGTCTATAAGAATTCTGTGGGAGGTCTGGCGGAATTGAATATGCTGAGTATGAAAAAATAGGGAAATGCAGTGAAGAAAACTTGGAAAGTTTAGTTGTATGAAATTCTATAGAAAAGCGTCTATGGATTTTCATTTTTCTATAATTTACTCCCAAGAAATTCTATGATGTACTAAAATATTCTGTAATAATTTTATGATAGTAAACCTAGAAATAAAACTTGGAAAATTACTGTCAAGAAATTCTATAGAAAAATGAAAATCTATAGACACTTTTCTATTGAAGAATGGGCTTTTTATATGAAAGTGTTTATAGATTTTCATTTTTTCTATAGACTTTCTATAGAAAAGTATATAGAAAAATAGATGCGATTCAATAGAAATCTACCTACCGATTGTCTCTTCTATAGACTTTTCTATAAAAAATGAAAATCTATAGAAAATCCATAGGTATGTTTTCTATAGCATTCTATAGAAAATTTTATGGACACGGCCTTTTTCTATAGAATTGATGCAAAAAACAAATAAAATTCGAATAAAAATTCAGTGAAGTTGTTTATGAAAAGCGCTAGGATTTTATATTCATGTACAAAAAATTATTTCATTTATCCATTCATTCATTTAATTAGTAACAATCTCATTAATTCGTCTGTTAATTTATGAATTTGATTATTAATTCAATTTTGCTTTTCTCTCAAGGCCTGGAGTAAAGAGAGGCAGCAGGCACTCGCCCCAGCCCACGTCCGGGGCATCTACAGGGTTTACCTGATTGTCGATAAGAACCTCAGGGAGATCCTCAAGGGGTCTGTCGATGCTGTCGCCACCATTGCTGTCATTCTGGCATTGATAGTCTTCACCTTCTGCGCATCGATTTTTATCACTGTTCAGATTTACGGGGAGGGACTGCACCTGGTGCAGATCACCGGGGAAATCCTCAATTCATCTCTCGTGAACAATCCCGATATTGATTGGGTTCCTCAGCAGTGGGAGGAGTCGGTCAACTCTGTTCTGGATAATGCGTATACTTATGGAAGGTAGGGGAACTAGAACTTGTATTAAATACCCTGGGCCGACAGTAGAGTAGAAAAACAATGGAAAATTCAGGTCGAGGAATTCCTATAGAAAATGTCTCAATTAGGCAAACGTTAACAGATTTTTTTAGTTTATTTATTTATTATTAATCTATTATTTTAGATATCCAATGGAATTTTTTTCGTGACGACAGTTTCTATAGAAATTCCTCAAAATGCATTTTCCAGTTTTCATTCACTCTATTTTTCTTCTTTTTTCATTGAAAAAAATAATTAAATAACTCAGAAAATTCGAACTGATGAATTTATCTGTAGAAACAATGAAGTTAAATAATTTCTCTTAAAAAATTAAAATAAAAGCTATCAATTTTCTATAAAAAACATCTCAATAGAATAAATTGTACAGAAAAATGCAATTTACTCATTTTTTCAATAGAATATTTTTCATTAAACAGATCTATTGCCAAAATATGTACAACGAAAATAATTCCCACTGAAAAAATGAAACGTAATTTCTTCAAGATCTGCGATTTCGGACGGGATCAAGGGTCTCATGAAGGATTTGGAGCCGGCGAAGGCTGAGGCCCTCGAGAAAAAGGTCCTCGAGCTGTGGGACAGGTTGTATCAGGCCTGGATGATGTCCGACGAGGACCCAGGGATGATTGGACCCACGGTGGATGTCAATGCTGCCATGACAGCCTGGGAGAGCATCAAGGAGAGCTTCGGAAAGATGCCGACGCAGATATTCAACATGACGGGAATTCAGAACTTTGCGAGGGAGAATGTGGGCATTCTCATGCAGGTGCTGGACTCGGTGTGGGGCATTGTCAAGGGAAACATGTCGGTGGTGATGAGTGTCCTGACGGAGTTGCTGTATGTGGTGCTGATGAGTGGGTCTGCTGTCCTGAATTTTGCCCTCAGCACTGTCGTTTTTTTCACTACTCTGTTCTATCTGCTGTCCAGCAGTGGGAAGACTTATAAACCCATTGAACTTATCGCCATGTTCAGCCCGATCAGCTGCTACAGGTGACTTATGATTTTTTGAGGGATAGGATTTTTATTTTATTTTATTTACGTTGATTGACGATGGATAAACTTTTTATTGCGAACGTTTTGGTAGACAAATTTCATTTTGTTGCTTATTTTCATAGAAAATATCCAATAGAAACTATTCTGTTTAAAAAATCAACAATTTCATCTTTTTAATTTTTTCTGTTCACACATGAATTTTCCGAGAATTTTTCCCTTTTTATTAGCAAAATCAAACAAAAAAACTTGAAAAATGAAAAAAATATGATTGTGTTAAATCTTTAGAAGTAGAATTACAATAGTTTTGAAGATTTATTAATAATTAATAATTAGTCAACTTAATTTAATTGAATAATTAATTTAATGAATTGATGATTTATTAATAATACTGTTTTTTTATCTGGTCTGTTTCATTAATGAATGCAGCAAGGATTTTTTGGGAGGGTACGTGCATGAGTGTAATTCAGGAATAAATTCCCCTACTGAATTTTCCTTACTTCTGTTGCAGATTTGCAATTGCTCTTCAGGAGGCTGTGATTGCGGTGTTCGCAGCGACGTTCAAACTGGCGTCGTTCTTCGGTATGTGGACCTGGTTCATCCACAATCTGTTCCAAGTGAAGATCGTGTATCTCCCCTCGGTATTCGCCACTGTGCTGGCCGCAGTGCCCTTCCTCGATGCTTACTTCGCCTGCTTGCCTGCTACTCTGGAGCTTTGGTTCACCAGAGGGCCTATGATCGCTGTCGTGTTCTTCGTGTTTCACTTTTTGCCGTGTAATATCGTCATCACGGATTTTTATAAGGAGATTAAAGGGTGAGTAGCCAAAAATGAGGATTTTTAAAGAGAAGATTGAGAACGAAACCTGACATTTCAAGGAATTTTAATGAAGTTTTTAATGAAGTTAATTGTCAATTCGTTTGTTGGCTAGTATTACCCAACAATTTTTAAATTATTGAATTAATGGTGAATTAATTTAAAATTAAGCATAATTTCGTGCTAAATATTCGCATTTCAATTGAATTTTTAGTGAAATTTTAAATTTTATGATTCGTTTTTTAAACATTTGAACTAGAGATTGACAGAAAAATAACAAATGATTCATATAAATGCAAATACTATTGCTCAATATTAACAAAAATGCTGATGGTTGATTAATTCAAAATTCACCGTAGTTTCGTACTAAATATTCGCATTTCGATTGAATTTTTAGTGAAATTTGAAGTTTTATGATTCTTCTTTCAAAATTTTAATTAGAAATTGACCGAAAAATGGCAAATAATCCCTATAAATCCAAATTATTTATAATATTGATTAATATTAACAAAAATAATAGTGCAAATATTAATAGTGCTTTTCCATTACTACGAAAAATTAATTGAAAAATTCGACTTTTTTTTTTTAATTCTCAAAATGTTAATTTTATTACTTGACGAATGCAATTGTCACTGGATTTTCCACAGGGGTGGCCACCCATACTTGACAGGACTATCAATAGCCGGCGGTATTTTCTGCCTGGGAGTGGAGGGAGCCATCTTCGGACCGCTTTTGCTCTGCTGCATCATGGTGGCCATAAACCTGAGTCGAAAGTACATGCAGTCCGTCTCCGAGGAGACTCTCAACTCCCTGAAATCTCAGATTGATCAGCTGGAGGCCGAGCCCCCAGTCTCCCCGTGAATTTAATCGAAAGTAGGGAATCCAAACCGTCCAGATGCTCTCGTGCTTCCATGCCTCGTGAAACTTACAGTGTTAGCCATGTTAAGTAATTGATAATTTGTAGTTACTGATTAATTAATCAGTGATGGGGGAGTTCTCCAGGCTTGGAGACTTGGCTGTCGTTTCTACTTTCAAAAACTAGTCAATTGTAATTTTACCGAGACTTTTAACGTATTAATATCTATAATATGAATTGAATATGATCCCAAAATTTTCTTGCATTTTATCCTTGGAATATTTTCGATGGAAAAAGAATGAGAAAAAAAAAGTATTTTCCTGCAAAAAAATCAAATTTTTCGCACGAAGATCTCGTGATTTGTTTCTCAGACATTCTCTTTCTGGGGGAAATATTTCTTGATAACGTAAAAACATTAAAAAATTGCAGATAAAAAATATTGCTTGAAAAAATAAAAAGTTCTCTTTAGATCAAATTTTTGGGCTCATCTTCTCTCGACATTTCACTTGCTGAAATAATGATGATATACTTAGCTTTCGTTTGTCTGCATCACATTTCACTTGACAGATGCCAAAATTGATAGGTGATTTTTTCTAAGTTTCTATTCACGCAGTGTAAAATGTTGAAATAAAATTCCAAAGATTGTTCTCAAAAATCGTAAAAAAATGTTTAATTGGATCTATACATTGATCGGTGGTGTTTTCGTGGTACTAGTCGTGTTGATTGTACTTGAAATTCACTCACATTACGACATGTATTTTCCACCGTGAGTAGTTATAATTTTATAAAGAGAGAATTGTAAAGAGGAAAAAGAGAATTAAAAAGAGTAATCATTTTGCAAATTTTTGGGAGCGAGGACTGCAAAGAAAATTCTCAAGAGACTTTCTTCAAAGTCTGGGAAATGTTCTCCCAAAAATATCTAGATAAGTGAAACTTCCATTAAATGCAAAAAAGTCTTCTAAAGTTTTTTACGAAAAAATTACATTTAAAAAATCAGTAAAATTTCATCCTTCTGTAAATTTTTCTGCGGACATTTTTATCGGAATTCTTCAACAAGAATTTTCCACGTTTTGAACTTTTTTAGTGAAACAAAGAGAAAACTCTTTGTTTCACTAAAAAATCGAACAAAAAACCTTGAAAAATTTGAGCCCCTAAATTTCTATAGAAAATATCTCACTAGAAATGAGAGAATGGGAAAATTCAACAGAATTCCGACAGAAATTCGTGGCGAATTCCCTAGGTTTTTGAATAAAATTTTATCGTAAGTGTTCACACTTTCAAATTTAAGAAAATTAAAATGATATGATCGTCGAAAATGATGAATCGTCAATTCGTCTCTAGTATGTGACATGAATTGACATGCTGGGTTTTGGAGTGGCATAAATGGACCCGAGTGTAGTGACAGTAATTTCCCTTACGGGTCCCTGCAATCTACCCATGTCTTGAGTTAAGAACAGAATTCGTTTCGACCCTTTCAGCAGATGAAAGCCATTCTCCGAGAATCTCCCGTCGTAAAAACCGTTGCCATCGAACCAAACGAACAACTGAGTGCAAGTACTCATGATGGTGACATCGTAGCCACTCACGTAGAAATTCCGCAATCGTTCTGGGACGTTCCACGAGGGGAACGCGTCGATGGACACGTCAAGATCGCAGACAGGAAGATCGAGGTCCTTGGGTGGCGCTGGATAAATGTAGTTCGCAGGGGCCAGTTGCCTGTTGGAGGAGGATTTGAGAATTAATTCGATTATGCAACTCTTCTTCGCTTCCTCGAATGTCGAGCCACATGACGCCTCTTTCAGGATTCCCTGGAGGCTCAGAGTGGGAAGTTCTACGGCAGAATTTCCTAGCTGCAATAAAATTGATGAATTATGTGTCTATTTTTTTATGAGAATATTAAAATATTTTTATTGCAGTCAAAAAAAAAACATGAAAAGTAAATGAAATTTTCTTGCAATTTTTCAACTGCACGAAAAGTTTTCAACATTTTCATTAGAATTTCTAGTAGCGATGAAATGATATTAGACTCGAATAAATGAAAAATAAAAATCATTCATGATTTCTCAATAAATCCATAATTGCAAAAGATCAAATGAAAGAAAAATGAGAAGTTAAGAAAAGAAAGCAAAAACAAGAATAAAAGGAATAAAAATAAATTGTTCATGCTGTAAATTTTTCAAATGCAAGAAAATTCTTCCAACACCTCATCATAAAAAAATTGAAATTATTATTCATGATTTCTCAATAAAGGGACAATTGCAAACGATTAAGTAAAAAAAAACTTACAACAGTGACTTTATCCAGCTGCTTGGTATAGACCGGTGGCATCGTGCCATTCCAAATCCTATGGAAATTGATCTCCACATAGCAACTGGGAATCTCCAGCAAATCATCGGAGATGATAAAAATCCTCACTTCATCGAGAGTAACCCTGGAGTTGACAACAACAGGAGCAAAGAATTCCTCGGCATAATTGTGCAGCATTTTCCACCTGCCATCGACATCGATGGAGGACCACGAGGGTGCCTGCCACACGTCATTGAGCTGCCAGTACAAAGCCCCCATAGTCATTCCCTCCCCTAGTTCATTGACACTGCTCTTGGCCTGTCTATAGGACTCAGTCTGAATTTTAACAGCCATAGCCTGCTGAATCTGGCTGAGATAGATGTAGCTCTCAAAGTCCCTGAGAGGATCCTGAGTGTCCGGAATCCTGAGATTCATTTTAATCTGGAGTTCCATGAAGACATCGCCCCCCGGTAGATGCTGTCGATGCTTCAGGAAGTCGGAGCCCCTGACGAGATCCACTTTGGGGTTCCGGCAGTAGGGTCTCAACGTCCTGATGGATGGCAACGACTGGAAGCCATACTCAGACGAAAATCTAGGTCGTTTGTACGTGTTGATGTCCCATCCATTGGCCACGTAATTGTAGTAATGAATGTCACCGTAGAGATTGGAGTAGGGATCCGTCTCGATCCAGCCATTCTGGGCACTGTAGTCTGCATTGGTGGGACTGGAGGCCAGGAAGGGCCTCAACTTGTCATTTTCCTCAACTTCTTTCTTTATTACGTCAACGTAGAGTTTTATGTAATCGTCCTTGTACACTTTTTCGTTACCTGTGCCATACCTGCAGAAATAGAATTTTTATAGGGTTTCTATAGGATCTATTAAAAAGTATGGAGAATCTTCTGTAGAAGGAGATATAGAAAAATCTATAGATTCGGCTATAGAAAAAACCTATAGACAAATCTATAGATTCGTCTATAGAAAAAAAATTCTATTGAAAATTCTATAGATTCGTATGTAGAATAAATCATATAGGAAAATCTGTAGGTTCGTCTATAGAAAAATCCTACAGGGGAAATCTATAGGTTTGTCTATAGAAAAAATATATAATAGAAAATTCTATACTCTTCTATAGAAACTGAAATTTTCATAAGTGGGTCTGTTTCATTTTCTATAAAAACATTCTATAGATAGATCTATAGAATTGGCTATAGGATCTTCTATAAAAACTTTTTTCGTTTTCTATAGAACTTTCAACATGATGCTTTATGGACTTTCGTATCAGGCTTTACCTCCTGGATGGCTTATAGAAATTTTTATAGATTCTATAGAAAATATAAATATTCAAACGAGGGAATGACCGTGAACACTCTCCACTCACCAATTCCCGTACAACGCAGCCTCATTCTCATTATTCCCAGCCCAGAGCACCACAGAAGGATGACTCTTCAGTCGCCAAACTGTCTGCCTCACTTCCTCCCTCACTGAAGCTAGAAAATCAGGGGTTGTCGGGTACATCGCACAGGCGAACATGAAATCCTGCCACACCATGATGCCGTAGCTGTCAGCCGCTTCGTAGAACTCATCGATCTCGTAAATTCCTCCACCCCACACCCTCACCATATTCTGGTGTGTCTCCTGCATGTACCTCAGCAAAAGCGCTCGGACTGATACGTTGGCCGCTCTATCAGCTAGGATACCTATAGGAATCATGTTCGTTCCTTTCGCGAAAATCGGTACGTCGTTCACCTTGACACGTATTAAAAAAAAAATCGTAGAAATTCTATTGAATTCTTATTGGAATTCTATAAGTTCTCTATTAATTATTCTGACGTTCTATTAGAATTCTATTGAAAATTTCGGGTTTTCGCGACGGTTCTATAGAAGATTATGCATCCCTATTGTGTAATTTTGGTAAGCGATGTTTGAGAAAAATGTCAATAGATTTTCATTTTTCTATAGAAGGGCTATATAATTTCTATAGAACAATCTAAGTCCGTAAAAGTCTATAGGATTATAGAGTTCTTGTGGAAAACTCGAAATTTAAATATATCTATAGAATTCTATAGCTCCCTTTTCTATAAGAATTTCTATAGAAAAAGATCAATAGCTTTTCATTTTTCTATAGAAGGTTATATTAGTTCTATAAAACAATCGAAGTCCGTAAACTCGAAATTTGAATTTCTATAGAATTCTATAGCAATTTTTTAAAATAAGAATTTCTATAGACTTTGATAGCCAAATGATAGGTTTTGATTTGTCTACGGACAATCTATAGAATTACACGGCATTTCTATGAAAAATTCAAAATTTATGTCATTTCTATAGAATTATATAGAGATCCTCTATAGAAATTCTACACAGTTTCTATAGAAAAATTCTATGGCCTATCGTATTTCTCCAGAAACTTGGAAAACGTATGTCGACGAATTTGCTATAGAAAAAAACTGATGTAAGTTGTATAGAAAAACAACATCTACAGACATTTTTCTATAGAAAAATATAGACATTTTTCTACAGCAAGATATCTATTCAAAAACGCACGAGTGAGATGAATAATTTATAATGGAATTGCCCAAAAAAAATTCTCAATTGAATTCCAATAGAATTCTTACAGAATTTCTATAGAAATTCAATAGAAATTCAGGGAAAAAGCGCCAAGTCTTTCTGTTAAATTATTTTTCTACCTTGAAGTAGAAACTCAGGCCCTTTTTCAGAGGTTCTTGGACGAGTTCGATGGTCCTGAAGCCGACTTTTCGGATCTTGAATTCCGAGTGGCTAGGGGTCGTCAGGGTGATGTTCAGGTCGTATAGTTTCTGAAGACCATTAGCCAGTTGGCGTCCGCAGCCATTCGGCCACCACCTGACGACCTTTGACTCAGGAATGTCTATGGTTAACGATAAAAGTGAAGTTTTCTCGTTGTTGGTGAAGTTGAAGGTTGTTCTGTTAGTGTAATAGTCCGGAATAGTAGGACTAAGACTCCAGGGGATGTTCTTCCATCGGGTAGGCGTGATGATCAGGCTGGCGCCCAGAGTCCCTGTGACCGGCTTCGATGGACTACTGGGGGCGTTCTCCAGGTGAACAGTTACGGTTATCCTCCAGAGATGGTCGGCTGTTAGTTCTACGTCTACCGTCGTGTCGAAGAGGGTCGAGTCGTTGAAGATGATGAGTTTGGGAATGCTCCACAGGCCTGCGCCTGGGAAGGCTGGCCCCCAGTCCCACGCGAAACTCGCCTGCATCTTTCGAATGTGGTTCACGTGGCACTCGCCATTGTAGGACGAGGGCACGCATTTAGGGGGGACTGGATAATTTTTTGACTGATTCGTGAAGAGAGATTCTGCTACTTTCACTGCTGACTCGAAGTTTATGTTTATCTTGTTCTGTTTCGGGAACTGAAATTCAATTTGCGAGATTTTTCGCATTCAACCGGTGGCATTGAAGGGTTGAGCTGGTTTTGCACCGTTAATTATCAGCCAAATGGAGATGAAGACGAATGAATGATGGCTTAAAAAATTTGTTCATTCTGCAGGAACAGGATGGAGCGGGTTGGGGGTGATCTGAAGAGGGTAAATAATTTTAAGAAGCGTTTAAAAATACGAGGTAGGAGCGCCGCCATGTTTGAAGCTCCTTCCGACAGAGGGGGAGGCCAAGCAACATGGCGGCGCCCGCTGGCAACCACCTCGCATTTTCAAACACTTCTTGAAATTATTTATCCACTTCAAATAATTCTCCACTGGTTGCACCCAGTTCCCGGAAATGGAACCAATTTTTTAAGCCATTTTTCAGATTTTTTCATCCCGTTGTAATGGAGAATTCATGGGACAAAGTTTTTTCCGCATTTCAGTAGCTTATTTTTCATATCCTAGGCCTTTTGATCGCAATTATGTTCGACGAAAGAATGAAAAAAAATCCACAATAAAACAATTTTACGAAAAAGAAATGGAGAAAAATCCTGGGACAAGACAAGTTGAGTGCACCTTATCCCAATCTCCCCTGATAATACTTACAGTGAGATACTCTTTGACATCGTAAAAATACCGCAAATGCATGTTTGTGGTGTTACCCAGGACATGATCATTCAGCGAAATTCTCCCAAACGTGTCAACACCCTGGAATACGAGGAGAGCTCGCTGAGCAGCAAATTCATCTGCATTGACAAGAAATACACTTCTAAAAAATGACGATGAATTTCCTGCCCATCTGTAAGCCACGTCGTTATCTCCAAAAAATGGATTGATGAATCCTTCCTTTGCGAAGGTTCTGTACGTATCGAAAGGAGGTCTCACGTTGCTGATATATTCCCTTCCCACCAGTCCATCCCAAACGTCCAGAGTATCCGCCCGAGCACTGAGCAAGGAGCTCAGAAAAATGACTGCACTGAGTCGCATTTCGACTCTGGACTGTTATCACGGAAATTTTCTATCTTCCGTTGATAATTCTCGGTTTTAGTCGATGTGATTGATCTTCTGCTTGCCTCGACGGCTAGAATTTACACTGAAGACTGAAGGCGTCATGAAGCCGGCGGGATCTCCTTACACCAATTGCCACGACCACTTTACCCCCACTTTATCACTCAATTGTAACTAATCTGACCTTGGCGAGTTTGAATTCATATCAGGGGTTCACGTGACAACAGAGGGAGACGTAAAATTGATGGGCCGTCAAAATTGTTTACAATACATCAATCTATTGATCCAATCAACTAACAGAGAAAATTAAAAGGAGTGAAGAGAGAACGAGAAAAAAATTCATTTCAGTAGCGAAGTGGTAAAACGGTATAACTCAATTTTCTCGGAATCTAAGGGAGATAGCAAAATTTTTATTATAACCTTTTTTGTAGATCTCATTGAGCGCTACAACAAATGCCATTACGAAAATTTCGCTAGCTCCCTTAGATTCGGAAATATTCCGCAAAAACTAAACTGGGAGATGAATCGACCGGTTTACCACTTCGCTACTGAATTAAACTGCGTGAGAAAAATTTGAAAAAATCATAAACACTCAGCGGCATTCAAATGACATTTCGCACAGAATTATTTCTTAAATATCCGTTGCTCATAAATAAATTAGTGAAATTGTTTACACTAGAGAAAAATCTAGACAATTACAACTGCATCAACTTTTATTAGAAATCAAACGACGCAATTTTCATTATGCACAGCTGCCTTAAACGAATGAAACCATTTCAGTTATATTCTCCCCACCGGAGGATTCACATTTCAAATGTGCGTAGATAAAATAAAAAAAAAACATCTGTATAAATTCTATGAAACTATGACTTCAGCCAGTACTAAAAATTTGAAAAATTATATAAATTTGTTTACCAGTTCATCACTCGAACTTGAAGATTTTTTAAGGCATCAATGTGTTGCTTTGGAGCTCCCACAGGCTCTCGATATTTCATCACTCATCACTCCTCGCAGATTTGAACGCTGAGATTTTTTTTTACCACAGACACTCACCGGCTTTAGGACCCATTTTTCCGATATTTAAATACTGGCGTCTCAAAGGTAGCAAAGGAACTTTGGAATTACAAAAGTCCATTTGTTGTAACAGAGCTAGACGTTGAAAAAAACATTGGAAGGAAGACTTGAGGTATTCAATTTTACGATTGTTTCCTTCTTTTACGACTGCCACCGCCTCTTGGCGAGGGCTTTCTCGTTCGCGTTTGAGCGCAGTAGTCTATTTGTGAGTTTTCGATTTTACTCAGGGGCTTGAAACAACGAATTGGAGAGTCTGGGATGTTTATGGGAGCTGTTCGACTGCTACCTGCTGGAAAAAAAATTGTTTCAAGTTATTTTCATTCAATTGCAGATCAATTTATTGAATTGAAGGGAATAAGGAGTTATTTTGCAAATTTGTTGGGAATTATTGCGATTTTTTGACATATTCTTCGGATTTTTATGAATCAATATGTTGACACAAAATTATTTGTTCTTTATTGTAAATTATTCCAGTTATTTGTTGTAATTATGCCAATTATTTCCAGTGAAATTGCAGATTTCACTGGAAATTCACTGAATTTACACATTTTTCAACAATAAAAAGACGATAATTCTCCTATTTACTTGAATTATCAATCAAAACATGAATATTTAGTATCAACTTGCAGAATTGAACTAAAGTTCCGTTTCCATTAATTTTTCCGTAAATTTTGGAATTTTCATGACGTTATTTTAAAAATGTCATAGCAATTATTAAAATTTGTTGACATATCCTTCTGAATTTGATCAACCAAACTATTGCCCCAAAATTATTCATTATTCTAAATTATTTATTCCAGGGAACAGTGAATTTCGAATATTTCGTTAAAAACTAAAAATGAAGATTCGTTGCAAAAAAATCTCGACATTGACTTTCATTTTCAAGTTTTCAAATATCCCCGGAGCCAACAGGTGCATCAGACACCATCAATCAAGATTAATCATGAATAATAATTCCCTGCAAAAAAAATTCCACCAAAATCTCGACGAATTCCTCTCGAAAAATCTAAAAAAAATTGAAATAATCACCTGTCCCCCCATCCTTAATACACTTTGACATGTGTTCTTCGAACTCGTGTCCGTCCCTCGTCCAATACCTCCCGCACTTGAAGCACTCGAAGGTGCCAGCAGACTGTCGACCAGAGGGAGGTGTCCTGTGCCCGTCCTCCTCAACATCGACGACATTCCCATCCCCGAATGAATCCACACAAGTGTCAGCGTGAGTTTCGATCTCCTGGCCCTGAGGAAAGTACTTCGAGCAGATGGGGCACTGGACATCCTGTCGCCCCTCGGGGGTCGCGGTGAACATGTCCTCCACCTCGTCAGCAGTAGGAGTTGGTCGATTATCAGCATCCCAGTTGAGAACACTAGCCCTCGCAGTTTTCCTAGCGGAGTCCCCTTCCAATTCAGGTCTCCTCCCCAGTCTGACCTGCCCCCCAGCCTTGTACTTGTCTCCCCTCTCCTTCTCCAGCGTTGCTATACTCTCCTTAGCCCTCATCAGCTGCTGCTCCGCCCTGATCCTCCTCTGAATCCTCTCCTGCTTCGCTCTGTCCTCCTGAGCCCTTCGACTCTTCTCCAGATCCTGTTTCTTTCTCTCTTCATTGGCCTGGTGAATTCAAATTGAAATTGGTCGGGATTCCGGGATTTGGAGGTTTGATATTAAATTGTGATTCAATTTTTACAGTTGGAGACAGTGAAATGGAAATCATGAAATTTGAGGGTTCTTTGAAAATTTAAGAATTAATTTCCATAATAAATAATTCAATATATTAATATATGAAATTCAAAGTTTTCTTTTATTTTTCCATAAAGTGTCTCTCTATCTTTCTGATCCATTTGATTTTTTTTTATCTTCATTTTCTTTCTCAAATTAAATTTGTGATGGATTCAGGAATTGGGAGCTTTATAGTATTCAATTGTGATTAAATTTTTAGATTTAAATCATTCAGTGAAGTAGGAAAAAATATCATGAAATTTCAGATTTCACTGAAAATTCACTGAAATTATAAATTTTTTAGCACGAGAAAGACGAGAATTCTCTTATTTACTTAAATTATCAATCAAAACAAGGATAATTAGTCTCGAGATATAATTAATTAATATAATTATAATTTTGAATTTTCAGTGAAAGTAAAATGTGATGAGAATTCCCAAAAATTGTACCGGAATTTTTAAGCTAAAATTTTTAATATTGCCTTCAGTTCTCAATTACATAATTAAAATCACTGATCACTTTGTTAATCTCATCTTTCAATGACGATTGACTACCAATACCAATTTTTTCAATTAATGTTTTTGCAATATTAAAAAAAATAATGATCAATGTATTTTGAAATTATGATAATTAATTCAGGAACTAAATTGACTAATGATTCTTACTAATATTGACAATAAATTCAGGGGGAGGGGGACGTAAAATCATAAAATTCAAGTATTCTTCAAAAATTCAAGAAATATTTGAAATAATTGAACTTAATTTTGAATCTTCAGTGACAAAAACCCTTGAAATTCCCGTGAAAGAGAATATGACAAAAGTTTCCAAAAGTCATACCGAAAATTTCAGACAAAAAACTGTTCTTCCAACAGCGATGATATTTCAAAAAATTCTAAATACTCATAATTAACTCACTTCCTCCTCCTTAGCCCTCTCCAGGAGTGCCAATGCAGCCTCAGCCCTCTTGCTCGTCTTCTCAGCGACAAAAATAGGTGAATCGTCCTCATCATCAGTCATCATGGCCTCGATCTCATCAGGAGTGAGGGAGGGCTCTGGCTTCCGCCTGGTGACCCTCTCCACCGAGAGTTGTGGTCTGTTGCTGAGTAGTTTGGCCACTCCCGCTGGTTTTCGTCCCCTGGGGCCTCGAAGTCGTGAGGGATTCGGGGGAGGTACTCTCCTGGGATACACTGAGGACACATCAGCGACGTCTGGACTGTTCGAGGGCTTTCCCCGCAGCTCTGGGGGGATCTCCTGGGGCTCGAACTCCGGGGAAGCCTCGCGAGTGGACCTTGCCACCTCTGGGGCACTCGAGTCTCGACTCTTGAGGGGACGTTTCCTGGAGGGAGTGCTCTTTGGTCGCTCCTCCCAGTCCGGGTCCTTGTCGTCCGACTTTGAGGGCTCTTCCTCATCGATCGGGGACTGGGTCGGCCTCGGGGCAGTGCGCCCACGACGACCTGGCAGGCTCAGGCGGGGCGCCAGGGGACGAAAACCTGACGACTTTGGACGCTTTCGAGTCGTCTCGAAGTCCTCGTCGTCGTCAGAGGTGTTGAAGCTGAAAACGCTGGATCCAGACTTCGTCAGGGACTTCTCCTGCGATTGCGAGCGCAGACCGGGCCGAACCGCGGGGATCTCTCGCTCTGGACGGAAATCCTTGTCCAGACTTCCGTTCCAGGGACCTGTCGCCGCCTGCGGGGAGAAGTCAATTCGGGGTTTATGATTAACTTTGGATCTCATGGGAGATTTTTTTTTAATTTGAGGACTCTTCTATTGAAGCTATTCCGTTGGAGTTTTGTGGGAGAATCCTGGCGCGTGAATTATTCAAATTCGTTTTTTTGAGAAGAAATAATTTTTAAGAAAATTCGATTTTTTATTTTACTGATCTTTCTTAATTTGTTGAGTTTTGATTAGTGAAGTCATTCTGGAAAAAACCTTGGAGGTGAATTTATCATACTTTTTTTAATTCGATTTTTTTCACTTCTTCGAGTTTTCTGCGAAAATTCTCGAACGTGAATTTTTTAAATTAATTTTTTGAGAAAAAGGGAGAATTATAAAGTAAAAACACCAGATAATTCATGGAGCAAAATCAAAATTAAAAAAAAAATGAAACATTCCGTAAAATTTCATTATAATTTTTTTTGAGAAAATTCTAGTTTTTGAAAAAAATTAATTCTGAAGAAATTAATGAATTGGGGGAATTGCGAGCTACTCAATCCATGGAATTACCAAGACTTCCATTTTGTTAATTAAAAATTTAGTGAAATCATTCAACTGTTGCAATTAAGGGATTCGAAAACAATTTTTATCTCTTTAGAATTTCATAAAGCAAAACTAGAGATAAAAAATTCAATCTAAAATCGACAATCAGAAAAAAACTCCACGAAAAGATTTTTCAAAAATAATGGAATACCACAAAAAAATTATATTACTCCATAACGTATGGAACGGAAAAATGGATTAATGGAATAATTCTACTTGACTTAATAAACATCATTAAATTTCACAAAACAATTACCCCAACCAAAAACCTCCACTACTGAACATCCAAAATCCAAAACCCCTAAAAAAATAAAAATCCCCTGAACCCACCAATAAATCCACGCAATTACCAAGACTTTCATTTTGTTAATTAAAAACTTTATTACTGAATATAGCAAATACAAGACGATACTGTTACGCCAAACTCTAGTCACCACACTTCGAGAAAAAGAACTAAGAAAGAGTCCCTCGTAAAAAGGGTGATAAATTGGTCCAAATCATAGGATGTCTTCTGAATTACTCCATTAATTCAATAAATGCTCATCAAACAAGGATCATTGGAAGATAGCAGTGATATCAACGATTGTATCGGCAGTTAATTAATTGCTCGGAGGAACCCACCTTGATGGGTGACCCCCAAACGACCTCGTGACTGTACTCGTCCCTGTGATTCTCGTAGTGTGACCTGTGGCACTCCATGAGGCTCATGTCCACGAATTTCTTGAGCTCCTCGGGTATCTGGGGCACTCCATCCACCATTTTGAACTTGACTGGGGGCCGAGAGCCCTGAAAACGCTGGAGTTTCTTGAGGGGAACATCCTTTTCCTGATGGGGATCCCAGGGGTCTATCTTCCACATTTCGATTTTCGGGGCCTGGAGGAGGCTCCGCAGCTTTGGCTGGACACTCTGGGTCTTCTTCGGGATGTTCGGGGGGTCCTGGGGGGGCTGGGAGGCCTCTGGGGCTGCGCCGGGGGCCCCAAATCTCGGGGGACTGGGAGACAGCACGTGAAGTGTCCCTATTGTGACGCCTGGCTTTGATGGGGACTCTGGGGACTGCACCGCCTCGGCTTCTGGCGGCTTCTTGTTCTGGACTTTCTGACGACTTGAGAGCACTGCTGAGGGCAGTTCTGGCGAGGTGGAGTCCCGGGCCGATCGAGGCGGCTTGTGGTTCGTGCCTTCTGCTGGGGGAGTTGATGGAATTTCCTGGAAGAAAATGAAATAGGTTTTTTTGTAAAGTGAGAATTTTGGATAGATTATTTTGTAAATTTCTTGGGGATCGGTTGGAATGAGTCAGTGATTGTTAGCGGTAAATGTCAGATTTTTATTTGTAGGGAATTGAATTTCGGGAGATTATATTCGTGGCTGTTGTGAAAATCTCTGGAAATTTATTGTGAAGTTAAATTGATTTATAGATTTTTATAATTCTTAGATTTTAATTTATAGCTCTTAATAATTTATCATTTTAAAAAATTCTGATAGTGAAGTGCGCAGAATTGTTGAGGCCATTCAATTTTGTGAATGAAGACGTTCATTACTGAATATTATTTCGAATATAAAAATAAAGAGGTCAATTGCATCGATAATTAAATAATTCAAAGAATGGATGGAGTTCTCCCATCAGAAATGAATATGAAATTAAGCATTACAAAAAACATTGTCATTATTTTGAAAATATCTTGGGATATTTACCATGGACAAGGAATCTTGGCGACTCATCTCCCCACTGTTGTTCATTGATTCATTGTAGGCTTGAAGCATGTGATCCATCTCCGCGGCGGTCATCCCGTCCTCGTAGAGTCCCATACCTGTGGGTGAAACAGGAAGAGTCAAACACCAGAAGCTTTGATGTGCTTTGAGTAATGGGAAATTTATAGAATCTTACCAGACAGCTCGCGTTTCATCTCTCCCTCCCGATTCTCGTCAGAGGAGCGCGTCCTGGCGCCGACCTAATGGAAATAACATTTCCTCATGAGTTTACTCGATGGTAATTGAACTCTAGCAACGTAAAATCATTATTTTTACGTGCTCCAATCAACTAATTGAAGTCAGCTGAATATTTATCACTTGGGGACTAGATTTTATCGATACTTAGGTATTCATTGGATGATTGAATTAATTGGGTGAACATAATTGATTACATTTAAAGAAACTTTGAGATGAAAAAAAAAACATGAAAGAAATCTTAAGAGTAAATCATGGCCAAAGCAGCATTATTTTTTCACTAATTAGCCGACTAGATGTTGATGACGAGTGAGAGAGATGTGAAGCGAGAAAATATATTGTATGTAATGTACATAAGTCACTGTACGATAGGTGAGGGCCACACCGGGGCGAGGAGAAAAAAATTTATGAAAAAATCATGTGAAATTCATTTTTATTTCACAATCGTAATCGAATGAATTTTAATCGCACGATGCGCTTCGAACAAAATTAAAATATTAATTAAACTCAATGAAATGAACGTCAGTGTGGGTCTTTAAGTATTAAAAATATCAGACGCACGGAAGAAGTTATTTAATGAGAGTAAAGGGAAAAAAATATTCGTAACATTGTACTTAATGTTTGGAGATACCACTTATCAATTTAACAGATCAATTAACAATGAGATGGTGATTTTAATTGTCCTGGTGGATTACAATATATTTTTCTCATTCATTGTTTGATTATGGAGACGTCCAGGGTTCATTTGATCCTGGAGGAGGCGAGAAATAAATTATTATGAGCAAATGTCAATATAAAATTGATTTTTATTTCCGTTTAAGGAGGCATTCTAGACATTCTCATTCTAGCGAGAGATTTGTGACGATCATGCCCTGCACATTTAACGAATGTGGGCACATGTGGAAGTTCTTGACGATTTAATTAATCACCATAACCCCCCGGATTTGTAATTCATTAACTAATGATCGAGGTTAGTGTGAGAGGTTAACAAAAGCCAGAGAATGCTCAATTGTTACTCACCGATCCCGCGTAGTTCATCTCGCCCCAGATATTCGCATTTACGATAAGGAATGATGATAAAACGTCACCGATACGTCGCAGGACTTTCCACAAGTGCACTTGACGTTATTTTGCGTTTCCGAGCTTCATTCGAAGCGATTTGACGGCAAAAAGAGATTATTCTCGACGATAAAATAGAGACAACGGTCAATGCTGTGTGAAACAGCCGAGGGACGATGGCTTTTCGCCCCTCACGAGTGAATACCGTGAATAATTGATGCTCACTTACCATTGGCTGAGCGCAGGATCTCATCGCGGATAGTCGCGCTCCCATTGGTCGAGGCTGGCAGTGACCTCTGACCGGTTTCAGGAGGCGAGAGGTCGTTTGAAAGTGTAAATAAACACTGGGGGAAATGCCGGCACTTTAAATTCAGGAGAATTGGCGGAATTTCAGGAAAATTGGGGGGGGGGGGGGGGGGGNGGGAAAATGTCAAGGGAACACTTATTAATGCAATAATCTATGAATACAAATTTTTTGGGGAAATATTCAAGATTTTTTTTAGGCAAATCGATTTTTTTAATTTTATTGAGTTCTTTTTACTTCGGTGATTTTTTTATTGAAGTTGTTCTGTTGCAGTTTTTATGTGAGAACTGGGGGTGAATTGTTCTAATTTTTTTTAAGAAAAATGAATTTTTAAGGAAATTCGATTTTTTCATTTTATTAATTTTTTTCTATTGACATTATGTTGCGATTTATCTATAAAAATTCTTTAGCTTGAATTTTTCTAATCTTCTGAGGAAAAGAGAATTTTTGAATTAAAAGCAGAAGATAATTTGGAGAGAAATCAAAATAATAAAAAAATGTCAACATTTTTCATAAACTTACTGTTTTCAGAGGTTTTTGAAGAAAAATTAATGTGAAATTTCTGGTTAAATGTTGAAGTTAAAAGTTGAATTTTAAAAATATTTTAAAAATATTTTTTCTGCAAAAAAATTATTGATTTCGACGGTTTCTAAGTTTAATTAAAGAATTAAAAATTTGAGGGATAATCACAATTATTTTATCGCAATTATTTTTCACGTCTTCCTCTGTCGAAGGCACAAGCACTGCGGGAAGAAAAATCGACACTGTGCACTGCTTGACCGATATTGACATTTGTGATACAAATATTGTTGTGGTTACAATAGGGATGAGTAACAGGTCAATAATGGATTACCATAAAATACCTGAGGCCCTGAATTTCAAATGAAAATTATCACTTGAATGAGAATGTCTAGAATGTCTCCATAAATGGAAATAAAAATCAATTTTATATTGACATTTGCTCATAATAATTTATTTCTCGCCTCCTCCAGGATCAAATGAATCCTGGACGTCTCCATAATCAAACAATAAATGAGAAAAATATATTATAATCCACCAGGACAATTAAAATCACCATCTCATTGTTAATTGATCTGTTAAATTGATAAGTGGTATCTCCAAACATTAAGTACAATGTTACGAATGTTTTTTTTCCCTTTACTCTCATTAAATAACTTCTTCCGTGCGTCTGATATTTTTAATACTTAAAGACCCACACTGACGTTCATTTCATTGAGTTTAATTAATATTTTCATTTTGTTCGAAGCGCATCGTGCGATTAAAATTCATTCGATTACGATTGTGAAATAAAAATGAATTTCACATGATTTTTTCATAAATTTTTTTCTCCTCGCCCCGGTGTGGCCCTCACCTATCGTACAGTGACTTATGTACATTACATACAATATATTTTCTCGCTTCAAATCTCTCTCACTCGTCATCAACATCTAGTCGGCTAATTAGTGAAAAAATAATGCTGCTTTGGCCATGATTTACTCTTAAGATTTCTTTCGTTTTTTTTTCATCTCAAAGTTTCTTTAAATGTAATCAATTATGTTCACCTAATTAATTCAATCATCCAATTAATACCTAAGTATCGATAAAGTCTAGTCTCCAAGTGATAAAAATTCAACTGACTTCAAATAGTTGATTGGAGGACGTAAAAATGATGATTTTACGTTGCTAAAGTTCAATTCCCATCGAGCAAACTCATGAAGGAATGTTTCACGTTCAATTTTTGGTTCAACTGAATTTTCGGAGTTCAGTGGTAAATGATTCAAGTCAACTGGGCAAAAACGTCGAGATCTATTCTGTAGAAAATTTCATTGACTACAAAAATATCTCTTGCCATCTTTTCCTCAAATTGCTCATTGACAAGCTCCATAAAAATCTATTCAATGAGTTCCTTCGCCAATTGTACACTTCACCACAAATGGAACAAGACATCAAGAGAAACTCTCATCTCCATAAATTAGAATGACATCTCATCGCTTTCTCAAGACGACAAATCACTCGGTGTCACAATAAATTACTCGAATTAACCAGACGTAAACAAATCTGTACATAGTAATAGAAAACGGTAAAACTGAATTATGCCTAAGGGACGGAAAACCGAAAACGCCGATATTAATAAAATAATTGATACTTTATTTGTATCTCGGACTGTCTGGCGGTGTGGACTGTTGAGTGCTGCTGCTCCGGTGTTTAGGGCCCGTCTTGAACGACATCTTCTTCAGGGGCCGAGGCGATATGCCGTGCAGTGCTGGACTGTCCTGCGTGTCAGCGCTGAACCAAACTCTGCTACCGTCAGAAGCTGAACGAAATAAACAATTTTTATTCCCCTTCGACTGTCAAACTGAGAATGAAGAAGCATTGAGAAGGTTGATGAGTTGAAATTGCGATGGGGAGACCGAGAATATGATGAGAGAGACCACTGAAGCTGTTGGAAGCATCGCAGAGAAAGATCAAACATTTCAGTTTAATTTTATTTTCAAACTGTTGAAATTTCCTTTGAAAAACGTCTTCTGATATTTTTAAAAGAAATTTCTTCTGACGTTTCCACTCAACAACACTTGAGTCAGTTCAATTGAAGTAAAAAAACACTAATTAAAATTGTTTGAGCCCTTCGCTGGCGATCTGTTTCGAAGAAGAAGAAATTCAAAATTTCTAATTGATACTAACTTGTTGGACCTTTAACAGGGTGGATGGGGATTAGTGGTCTGAATTAGTCACCTCTGTTCGTGCGATTATCAACACCACTCGATGAGGAATTATTTCTCAGACTGGGACGACCGTGGTGGGAGTCCAGGAGGGCTGCAGCTAGATTCGACGAGGCTGTTGATTGAACACTTGTAATCGACCCTAAAAACCCAATAAATATTTATAAAAATTGATTGATAAAATTAATCATTGTCTTGAAATAAATTACCAGTGACAGATGATCCTCCACTGAACGGACTCATCGGTTGAACAGGTGCATAAACGTTGGCAGCAAATTCTTCGAATGTTGTTGATTCCTTGTGATTTCTCATAACCGTATCAATCGAACGATTTCTTTCTTCGTAACTAAAAAAATTTACGGAATTAATGACGTCAATTAATAACAATTAATCAATGACATTTAATTTAATTAAATGTTCAATTGATATTATTATAGAAATTCTTTAATAATTAATAATAATATCGATAATTATGAACAAAAACTAAACTAAAACTGATTCTGAAGTTGTTAAATAATTATTATTAATCATGGATATAATTATTAATGATTAATAACTGTTGATATTATTATTAAATACGAACAATAAATTCAAAACTTTACGATAAATCAATCAATCATTATCATTAATGAATAAACTAACCATGAACTCAATTCAATAATGAAGTGAATTAAAGCAGTTGAGTTTTTGATGAATATCTCCGAATCTAAGAGAGATACAAAAATTTTCGTAATGACCTTTTTTGTGGCCCTCAATTCGCTCTACAAAAAAGCTCTTCACAAAAATTCTGCTACCTCCCTTAGATCCCGAGATATCCCCCGAAAACTGTCCCATAAACTCCATTAAACCCCTTTAATTGACCTCCCCACCGCCAAAAACTCACTAATGCTGATACAGCGACAGAGTGGACCTCTTGGCCCTGCTGGCAGCGAGTGCAGTGGCCCTGACAAGCCCGGGCAGCACATCGTCCTCGACAATGCTCTCATCAAAGAGCGGCCCAAAGAAAGGTATCTCCATTTTCCTGGCAATCTGCACTCTGTACAGTTTATTAGGCAGCGGATAAATAGCGATGAGGACATCACAGAATTCCGTAGGAATGATGTCCCTCCTGTAATCCCTCCAGTGCTCCGACCACACGACATGCACCTCATCATTCCCAAGATGTCTAGTCTTCTGCAGCAGGCTCTCAGGGCTGTCGGAGGGCATTCTCGTGGCGACATGAAACAAAATTTCCACAAAGGACGTGGCAAAATAGGGGGCAGTGGTTCCACTGGCTTTTCCGGGTACCAGCCCGCCCCTGAACCCAGTGTGACTCTCCAACTCCACCTCCCAAGCTAATCTGGCAACGAAGCTCTCGTACTCCTTGCTGCCAGTGACATTCCCCAGAATAGAATTCTTGTCCTCCTGTCCCTGTCCCACATATATCACCGCCATTTTGTGGGTCTCCCTGGACCTCTGGCCATCGAGATTCCTCAGCTCCCTCAGGAGCTTCTCATTCTTCGAAAGAAGATGCAATCTCCTCCTCTGCTCCCAGCCAGACAGCCCCAGGTGGGAGAACAATAGTCTGCAGTGGTGAAAGGGAGCTGGAGGGGGCCTAGAAGGTGGTGGAACAGCTGGTGGTGCCCTCATGCCCACCAGCTGATTGCAGCCCTGAACGTACTCCCTCGAGGTGTTTCGTTGACTTATAATTGCTGTTATCGTCTCGTGCTCCATGCAGTTGACTGGAGGGGAGTTCGCTGGGGCGTTCAGAGGCATCTCAGGGTTGGTGAGGACCTCTGGAGACGTGTGGCCAATGTAGTTGAGGAGGTCATCGAGGTTGTCCATGTCACTGGCTGCATTCGCGAAAGTAGGAAGGACTGTGGGATCTCTGGGCCTCGTCACGTGCCTGGGGGGCTGGGTGATGCTGAGGGAGTCGTTGTCCTCCTGGAGGTGGTCCAGGGGCTTCGGAGGGTCTCTCAGGTCACTCGAGCCCTCCTTCTCCTCCTGCTGACGATAGAGGATCGAGCAGTCCCAGGCTGCTTTGCCAGCCAGATCTCGCAGCAGAACTCTGACGGTTGAGGGGGCTGTCACGAGGCCGGAGTCTCCGGGCTCCAGGGCCTGCAGCTCCACCAGGGACATTATGATGGAGTTGGACAGCATCAGGAGCTGAATGTTTGGCGCGTGAAATATCGCTGAGGAGAGCTCGTCTCCGTCGATTCCAGGTACGTCGTCCAGTTCTACAACTGTTGAGGAGAGCCTGGCTGCTCCTATGCCCATGGGGAAGTGCCCCAGGTGATTCACCAAGTGCATTGTCACCATTTTTGCTGCTTGCTGGACTGCCTGGCTGTTTGTGTGCCGAGGGGTGCTGGTGGAGTCCTTTCCCAGGTCGTCGATGCTTATGTCCTGATCGAAGTCGTCTTGCTCGTCGTTCTGGTGGCGAGAGTGGCGGGACAGGTCGTGGATCGACTTGTCGGATCTGTTGTGCATTATGTTGTCGAGAACTGTGAAGATTGTGAGGAGCAGGGGTTTCCCTTGGAATGTCGTGGAGAGGACTCTGGGGCCTAAATGCATCGCCCATTCACCGAGGCAGAAGAGCATCGATGTGGTCAGGGCACTTCGACGCTCACGAACTGTCATTGTGTCCAGGGTTTCAGAGAGAATCTGGAGGTTTAGGGAACACTGGAGATTATTCTATTCTTATTTTTATTCATTTAATTATTTTCTTTTATTTGTGAAAAATTAGTCTAATGAACTAAATGAGTAAATGAATTCATTAATTTATTAATAAAATAGAAAATTAATTTAACAATTATTTAATGACTAATGATCGTGTTTTTTGCTATGAAATTGAAGAATTGAGTGTTGAATAAAATTCGGTATTCATCTGCTTTTATTATTTTTCAGGAAAAAATGAATAGAAAGTGAATATAAAAAAAAATTAAACATGATAATAAAATTGGGAGAGTAAAAATAAATAAGAATAAATATTACAAAAAAATGATTGAATTATTGCAGATAATTTTTTAAATTCAGTTCTCACCTGAATAATTTTATATGGAATCCTTGGATAAATTTCCAGGAAAACGTCTGCCTTATCGCACAGAAGGATGAGAGAATCACAGGCGACCTGAGCGACCGAGGGATGTGTTGCCTAAAAACGAAGCCGAGGAATTTAACAAGTTAAGTGATGATTAAACACAAATAGACAGAATGCGTATTAATGGGAAAAGCATTAGACACGTGAAAGCACCATGAACAAGAACATAAGCAGCACGATGCAACGAGGGGGATAGAGCACGACATTTTGGTGCAGCTAAAAGGTGTGCTGGACTACCTTATACGGGAATAGTGCATGGAACCGGTCCCTTCGTCTGCCAGCCCTGTGTGCCCTCTGCCAAGCCAAGCAAATGAGTGTTGCTAATTTTCAAATGACGGATTGTACGTACTACCAAGGGTATTCTACTGTGGCGAAAGCCTACTACTACGTCCCATTTAATTATCGTACATTTTTGGGGGGGAGAAAGATGAAGAAAAGAATAATGAAGAAATGAGTAGAATCATAAATTTAATCATTTAAAATGGAGATGGATCAAAATAATGGAGCATTCTTATCAATTATCGATAGAAATTAATTGAAAGATTGAAAGATCCCATTTAATTATTGTACATTTTTGGGGGGGAGAAAGATGAAGAAAAGAATAATGAAGAAATGAGTAGAATCATAAATTTAATCATTTAAAATGGAGATGAATCAAAATAATGGAGCATTCTTATCAATTGTCGATAGAAATTAATTGAAAGATTGATAATTTTGAAGTAAAAATAAAGAAATGAATAGAAGAATTATAAATTTAATAATTTGTGGTAAAGATAGATCGAAGTGACGGATCATTCTCATTAATTCGTGTTTTCAAATCATTTTTAACTACAAATTTCAAGATTTGAGGTTTAGAAAATAATAAAATAGATTGAACGAATGATAATTTAGAATTAATTGCAATTAATGTTATCAAAAAAAAAAATGGATTGAATTATATTCAGATACTATTTAAGGAACAAATGATTTCAGCCACCAATTTCCCAAAGCCCATTCAATTACTGTACATTTTTATTTTTAGATAAATAATTAAGGTGAATGGAGAAAGATAAAGAGATAAAAAGAATGAATAAATAAACAGAGAATTTAAATTATGAAATCAAATATCATTTTAGGAATCGATTGAAAGACCGATAATTCTAAAATCAGTGAAGAAAAATAAAGAAATGAATAGAATAATTATAAATTTAATAATTTAAGACGAAGACAGATCAAACTAACAGATCATTCTCGCAAATTCGTATTTCCAAACTATTTTCAACACATTTTAAAATTCACGATTTTCATCACCCCTTTTTCAATCGAAAAAGCCATAAATCCGCCTGAATTTCCCTCGACATTGTCAACCCCAACTAAAACCAGCTTAAATTCCCCTCACCAGCCCCTACCAATCCCCGAAAAATTCCAGAACCAAATACACCCCAAGCCCCCTAAAAACCCCAAAACTCACCCTCAACGCCTGAAGAAGAACAGTGACAGCTTCAGGGAGTTTAGGGTGTTGGCTCCTGTGACACAGCTCCCCATAAGCAAACATAGCGACACTGGACAGGGCGATGCACCTGGCAACGCCAGTGGGTTCCCTCCTGCAGCTCCTCATAAGGATATTGAGTATCAATTCCTTGGCGTCAGGGCACATGATGGTCTCGATCTCACTGGCATTCGGTTGAAAGACGGGGAAATTGCCAGCTGATATGGGCAGGGACAGCAGAGACCCCAGGATGGAGACAGCCTCTGTCCTGGGCGCCTCGACATCCTGACTCCCCAGGATGCTGTTGGCCGCGTGAATGTAATCCAGAATCAGTAAACTAGATCCTGGCAGTTTGAGACTGAAAAACCTAGGGCCAGTGTATTTGATCAAGGCGTGAATGACTTTGGTGTCATTGCTGGTGATGCCATTGTGCACAGCTCGATAGAAGAGTGTCAGATGTGCCTTTGGTAAATTTATGTCGAGGGGCTGGACAGTCAGGAGACAGATGAGTCGATAGGCCGCGAGTTTTCCCACTTCGTAGTGAGGCGGAAGTTGAATGGCCTTGAAGCACCAGGGGGCTATCACCGTCAGGGGGGGAATGAGCTCGGGGGCTGGAGGGGTCGCCTGATTGTCACCCGATACCCCTTGGTTCAGTCGGATTTTTATCAGCGTCTGCGTCAACTGCACCAGATACTCCATCACTTGACCGTGCAACACTGGGTCCTGAATGTTGTTGACGTCGCCAAGGGCTGAGAGCATTCGCCTCCACAGGACCACTGCCACGTCCGGCAGCCAACCGCGCACGTTACCTCCTGCCATCACTGATCTTCTCTCTGATGCGTCACTCGTGTCTGCAAAAATTCAGAGGGTGAGGGCTGGAGGGGTGGAGCTCCCGGAGAGATGCAGGGCTTGAGGTTTTAGTTGGGAGGAAGGATTCTTGGGTTCGAGGGGGGTCGTCTTCGAGGAGATGACGTGGGGAAAGAAACATGCGTGGAGAAAGGTTTGTTGAATCTCTAAAATTGGTCAAAGATACTTGCTAAACAAAGAGATTAATGATTCATAGGCATCGGGGATTTTTTTTTGTAAATTAAAGTTTCTCAATTAATTTTTTCTTTCAATATGGTGACAATTGGGAAAAACAATATCATGATGACTTCAGTTTTTTCAAAAACCTGATGGTATCAGGCTTTTCGAGAATTAAAATCATACGCAACACATACTAAACGGTCATAAATTTATCAAATTAAAACACTCCTCAATCTCCAAGTGATAAAAAAAATCAAAATCGTTTTTCCACGCAAAAAAATTAAAAACGAAATTATTGCACATTATACTTAATGAATTTAAAATTAATAATAAAAATAATAATAATAATAATTTTTATTTCAATTTCAAACACTTGTTTTTGAAACTGAAATAAAAATAAAATAACTAAAAAATCGAAATTATGATGACATTAGGCTTAAGAATTGAAGTTAAACTCAACAGCCGACTAAACTGTTCATAAATTCATAAAACCAAAAGCCTCCTGCACAAAAAAAAATTAAAAACAAAAATCAACGAGAGAAAAAAAAGACCCCGAAAAATCCTAGAATTTCTTTTTTCACGAGGTCTAACAAAAGCCAGTTAGTAAAGACTTCTCACAGCTAACTAACACAACACTCGAGACAAAAGCATAAGCAACTCATGAATGCTATCAACAAAAACTCGTAAAACAAGCGAATTCTCTCACGAAATTGGATTTGTTGATTATCTCAGGGGGATTTACGCTACATACCAATGCTGCTTCCATCAATGTTCTCGATCTGAATGGGACTGTCTTTGTTGGAGTCAACTCCACTGCTGGGTGTCGGCGAGGGACACCTAGGAGTGGCAGGTTCACTGTCAGGAACAACAACACTGTCCAATGATTTGGCGCGTCTCCCAGCCAAATTTTTTCTCCTTCCAGCGGCTGTTGGTGTTGCATTCGTCGCATTGTGGTTCACCAGTTTAGCCATGTCTCGTTCAATGGAGAGGGGAAGTGCTGCACGCGATGAAATGGATTGGGCTGAGTATGTGAATATGAATGAAACCGAGAGTTCACTCGGTATGAAAGAATTATTTGTGGCTGATGGAGAGGAAAAAGTGGGACAAAATGAACATTTCAATTTATCTGAACATGTGGATAAACTCAATCCCATTTCACTCTCGCAATAAATTCTTATTAAAATCTTATTTCCATCTATTTACTCATACATTTAATTAATAAAGATAATTAATTGTGAAATTATCCTATCTACTCCAATAAAAATAATTGACTGAAAAATTACTGAACAAATGTAAGAGATTTATTCATATATTTATTTAATGTAATATAAATAAATAATTGAATAAAAATCACACTTCCCTGTCAATAATTTGAAAGCATTGAAAATAAAAACCAGTCCATTGTGCCCCACTCAGGTAATGAATGAATCCAACTGAATGAGTAATTAATTAAAAATATTTACATAATTAGTAATTGTTTGTGAATTGATTCGGTAATTAATCATCTTGAATTAATCGAGAAATTGAAGCAATTCAAGACCACAAGAGCGAACGGGCTATTTATATCGTCAGTGTCGCAGAATTGTGCAGTTGAAAAAAATTGACTCAGAGGAAAAGAGAGGGTATAAATAAACCTGGTGGCTGAAGGTTTTAATGACTTGAACGCGTCTTCTTTCGGAGCTTCGCAGTTGCTAACGAGACTCGAGTGACCAATTTTCTTCAGCTGCTAATGGATTAGTTAATGATAATGGAGATAACTCACCAGGGATTTCGAAGTGAGTAACTGGTGCTCGATTTTTCTGTTGTTTTGTACGACTCTTCATGCTGTAGATGTTGTTGTCACTTACACTGCGCGGTAGGGGTCGGTGTTTTCGAAATTCTCGGGATGGGTGGTCTGTAAATTATCGGTTGATGACATTTTTAAATTTTTTTTATTTAAGAACTAATTTTTTCATCCTTTAAAAAATTTTTTCTCGGCAATTTTCTACGTAAATGTCAGCTGGAATTGAAGATAGATTACTTTGTAAATATTTTGATGAGTTGAAAAGAAAATACAAATACAACATTGAATTTTATACAAAAAATTGGCTTTTAAAATTTTTTTTTCAAGAATTTCTTCTGAGAAATTTAATTTTCTAAACAAAAAAGTCTCTTTACATTTATCTACGACTAAGTAAGTTATTTTTTTAAACCCTAAAAGAAAAGAAAGAATACTATAATAACTCTGATATTATTCAACATCAGAATGTTATAATTAATTATGATAAAATGTTGAAAATTTTTTCTTTGAAATTTGTTACATAAAACTGTCTATTGCAATTGAATACACGAAGGTAAATTTCTTGAAAAAGTCTTTTCCTTTTAAGAAATTGAATAATCCACAAAAAAAACTCTATTGATATTCATCTCCACGGTTATTAAAAATAATCTATTCCTCTACCCTTGAAGAAAAAAATATCATAAAACTTATACTTGACAATTATTAATTTTTAAAACCTCATGAATAATTGATGAATTTACTATAATTAATACACTCGTCATAATAAATAATTAATCAACGTTTCCTCACCTGGAACATTCTCCTTGCTGATGTTGCTGGTCTCCCTGTCGATGCTCCCCCTCCTGGGGCTCTGAACATTGTTGGCAGAAGCAGTTCTGCAGCCCACGCCCCTCCTCCTCTTGCTCTTCTGCTCGCTGAGCCTGTCCAAGGGCAGATCATTGAGATCCAAATTATAAACATGCCTCGCTAGAACCCTCGTCAATGTATCCAGAGTCTTCGCCCACTCCCTGATGAGCTCCTCCCACTGTGTGAGGCTCGTCAGCACCTCCAGAAACTCGTCCCACAGCTGCGTCAAGATGACGACATTGAGATTCGCCTTTATCCAGGTGACAATCAACGTCTGGAAGATTGCAGGTGCGAGCTTTCCCCCGATGCTCTCGTGCGTCTTCTTTCTGGAGGACTTGTCCCCCAGGACTAATGAGGTTATCTGGAGTAGAACCCTCAACAGTTGGTCCCAAGTGCTCGGTTCCAACCTGGCATGCATCACCACATACCTATAGACATTGAGCACCCTCTTGCAGCTGTCGATCTGCTCCTCCAGCAGTGCAGCACTAGCCAGCCCCCCCGAGCTCTCCAGAAAAAAGACATTCGACGCCTGCGTGATGAAGACCTGCAGAACACTCTGCAGTCCAGCCCTCACGAACAAATTCTCCCTGTGAATGGCCCCGAGGTACGAGTCATTCCTGAGCCTCGTCTGCCTCCAGCTGTCAGAAGGGCTCTTGTCGCTCTCCCCCTCCCTCCTGACGACCTCCTCCCCCTCCTTCTCCTTGTGGCTCTCGAGAGGCTCCAGCATGAACGGAGGGATCTCGTTCATCTGCACCCAATCCTTGTAAACAGCGATGGCCTTTCGTATCGCCCCGGCATGTGTGAAGTCCAGGAGGAAAGCCTGTCGATAAATCTCGTGAACGAAATTGACGTTGTCCCTGCTGCCATAGAGCACCTCTCTCACCAGCAGAACAGCAGCTTGTCCATCGTCAGCTTGGCCATCCTGATGGGGAACGTCAGGGGACAACGAGTTCGAATCAACACTCTGATTTATCGACGCCCTCTTCACTTCGTTGTCGTGCTCATCACTGGGTGTCATCTGTGAATTGATGAAGGGTCCGTCCTTCTTCGTGACGTGGGTGAAGCTGGCCAGCCACTTGATCAGTGCCACCTTGCAGAGGGTGTAGTTGCTCTGGGAATTCGGCGACTGCTGCCTCATCGTCGGCAGCTCCAAGTTGGGCTTGTACAGGGAGAAGTTGTCGTCAAACTCTGGACAGATGTACCGAAGATATGTGGCCTTGAAGCGCTCCAGGAGGAACTGGAGGCACTTGTGCTGACGTGTGTGCTTGTCCCTCCACTCGACCTTGACGACTTGGGTCACCATGAACTCGAGAAGAGCCTCGAAGAAGCGGAGGGTCTCGTTGTCCAGGGGCTTCTCACCACTTTGCACTGGCAACAATGGGGTGCCATTTGGCTGGGTCACTGGACCCTGCTGGGAGTTGTTGCAGTGGAAGATGGAGGTGACGTGTTGAGTGTCGAAGAACTCGCGTTTCTCTTTTTCCTCGGGGTTTGGGGGATTTTGGGGGGCGGACTGGCTCGGCTTTGGGCGACGCTCTGGCCGACTCGTTGGCGGGGGAGGAGGGAAGCCTGGGACCAGGGAGGCGAACATCTGGTGGATGTGGTCCGGGGCATTGTCCCCCAGGGCCTGGTACCACAGGATGAAGTAGCGGAGCGCCTGGCGGCGGAGCTTCCAGCTGTTGCCTGGGTGCAGGAGCTTGTGGAGAATTCGGGCTAGGCTGTGGCACTGCCAGCGACGGTTCAACAGCTCAGGGAGGAGCGTCAACACCTTCTCCAGCAGCTGCAGGACCTGCTCGAGCTCCTCGCGGTGGGCTTTGTGCACTGAAAGGGGTTGCAGGGGGTTAGGGCAGGGGTCGCCAGCAATATTACGTTTTTTCCGTATTAAAAGGATTTCCGAATTCTATTTTTTAAAAAAAGTTTAAAGTGCTCATCAAAATTAAAAAATTGTGGAATATTAATAGTTTAAATTTCTGATTGATGGTGATTTTAATATTTGATAATATGAAAGTGTAAATTTTCCGTTAATTCGGAAAACACACATTTACAGAAAAATTAACTTCGTGGAAAAAAAGAATTCGAAAATTTTGTAAAAAGTAGCTTGACAAAATCGTAATACTTTTGGGAGAAAATGTATTCAGAAAATAATTTCATGAAATTAATTTGCAAAATAACCCGTTACAAAAGAATTAAATTCCAGAGGATTTTGTAGAGTTTGAAAATATTGTGAAGATTATCTTGCCAATAATTTCATAAAATTAATTCGCAAAACAGTCATTTGCAACATAATTAAATTCAGAGAAAGACATGGAGTAAGGAAAACCTGTCAGGGTTTTGTTATGCAGTCCAAAAAATTCTCTGCAAATAATTCCCCTTGACATCTCCCCGACTAAAACATTCTCAAATCCCTCTAACTACTTGTTCACACATTGCACTGAATCAAATTAACTCACCAAGATGGAAGGATAGTTCTGGTAGTATCGACAGCATAAAATGTTTGAGCAATCATGATTATTATTCGTTAGTAATTCACCTTGATCAACAAAATACATCACCAAACGCTTCAATTACCTCTCTGTCGAAGGTTCGCCTCAGCCGTGACGAAGCAGTCGTACAGGATGAAGTAGACATGACTGAAGTTGCCCTCGAAGAAGCCCTTCGCCTCGTCTGTGTCCACATTCTCTGAAAAATCATAAAAATCCCCGAATGAAAAAAACTCGGTGTAAATTCCCGAGGTGCATCGATACACAGAAAGAATTGCTCGTGTGTAATGCGAAACTCCAGACTCGCCATGTGGTTTCAGATAAGACTTATCATCACCACAATTATTTCGATTACACTCCTTGAAATGCAGCAGAACATTCCTTTTAGGAGTAAAACATTCACGATTGTGACGTGACAATAATGAGTTCTTTTTTTTTATTCTTGTTAATTATTTAATTCAATGAACGTTCACTGCATGCAAGTGAAATGTTCCTTAAATTAAATTTTTTTTCCTAAAATTGATAAAATGTCATCATGTTCTCAAAAAAGAAAATCTTCATTTTAAAAATGTTGCCATTAATTTGAGGAATATTTCTCAGTATAAGGGAAATATACGTGAATTTTAAAAATTGTTCGCGATGTCGAGAAATCTTTTTTGTAATTAGAACAACCCTTCTGCAATTTCAAAGACTCTTTAGGTAAATTCTTCATGTTTAAGAACATGATGGCATGAAAGACAAATGGAATTATTGGAAATGCAGGAAAATTGGATTCGAATGAAAAAAATTAATGGTTCAGGCCTAATACAAATTGAAACAATATTTTAATCCTCAAAAAAATGGGAATTGTTATTCTAAAACTCACAAATTGTCATTATGTCCTCAAACAAGACAATTTGAGAAATTTAAATAAATTGAGAATATTGTTCTTAACGTCAATAATTAAAAAATTGATGTTTCTCATTATGAGGAGAATTTCCAGGCCTCAAACAGTCAATTGATGCTCAAAAAAATTGGAGTTATTGTTCTAAAATTCAAAAATTGTCATTATGTCCTCAAACAAGACAATTTCAAAAATTTAAATAAATTGAGAATATTGTTCTTGTCGTCAATAACTAAAAAAAATATATATTTCCCATTATGAGGAGAATTCCCAAGCATCAAACAGTCAACTGATCCTCAAAATAATGGGAATTCCTATTTTAAAACTCACAAATTGTCATTATGTCCTCAAACCAGACAATTTCAAAAATTTAAATAAATTGAGAATATTGTTCTTGACGTCAATAATTAAAAAATTGATATTTCTCATTATGAGGAGAATTTCCATGCCTCAAACAGTCAACTGATCCTCAAAAAAATGGGAATTCCTATTTTTAAATTCGCAAATCGTCATTATTTCCCCAAACAAGACAATTTCAAAAATTCGAATAACCGGAAAACATTGTTGGTTTTTATTGTTGATCTCAACAATAAAAAAAAATTTCATTATAAAGAGAATTCCCAAGCATCAATCAGCCGACTAATCCTAAAAAAATGTGAACAAATGTGCGTAGGACGACAACCAACACCTCCGCTCCCATGTTCCCCAAGAAATGAATACTCCCAAGGTTAAGAAGCTTTCCAAACAACTGCCAAACTAACAATCGTTCTAACGACTTTGGACAAGTGTCGAGTTGACAGGTTGACACTAGAACCCACCAGGTCCCCTCCCCCTCCCCAAAACCGCCGAGAATCGAGGAGTTCACCTCGAATAAATTAGCAACTCACCCAGAACAATCTTCAAATGCTTGAACCTCGTCGCACTGTCCTTCTTCACATCTTGTATCTTTAGCGTCGACTTCTTGACGTCTACATGAAGTTTCTTGCTGAACATTGTGATGATCTAGTGCGCGCCGCCGGCGGCCGCGACGATATCCAAATTCATCGAGCCCGCGCGAAACATTCCTCATGAGTCACTGAAACCCCTCGACAACTTGTTTTTGCGATTACGTTGACATTAAGTTTTAGGGGATAATGACTTATGAATTAACAACTAAAAAAATCCCGTTACAGTCACCATTGGGTTGTGTACGAATGAGAGGGGTACTCGCACACCTCCCGATCAGATGTACGTGACAGACGCCATCTTGGAGGCATGCGTTTGTGTGGAATTTCTATGCGTTGGGGGGATTGGGGAGGGGGGAAGGTGCTGTGGAGGGTCTGGGGGGTTCTGTTGGGTAGAGGAGGTTCTGAGGGGGCGGGGATTTTTTTGAGGGTCTGGAGATTGGTTGTTTGGGGTTTTTTTGGAGGTTTTTGTTTACGTGGATGGGCCCGACTGATGGTAATGGAGGGATGGGGATTTTTAGACGGTTTTGATTGTTGGGATTAATTATTAATTATATTAATAATATAATATCCTTCAAGATTAAGTTATCAATNAATAAATTAGCAACTCACCCAGAACAATCTTCAAATGCTTGAACCTCGTCGCACTGTCCTTCTTCACATCTTGTATCTTTAGCGTCGACTTCTTGACGTCTACATGAAGTTTCTTGCTGAACATTGTGATGATCTAGTGCGCGCCGCCGGCGGCCGCGACGATATCCAAATTCATCGAGCCCGCGCGAAACATTCCTCATGAGTCACTGAAACCCCTCGACAACTTGTTTTTGCGATTACGTTGACATTAAGTTTTAGGGGATAATGACTTATGAATTAACAACTAAAAAAATCCCGTTACAGTCACCATTGGGTTGTGTACGAATGAGAGGGGTACTCGCACACCTCCCGATCAGATGTACGTGACAGACGCCATCTTGGAGGCATGCGTTTGTGTGGAATTTCTATGCGTTGGGGGGATTGGGGAGGGGGGAAGGTGCTGTGGAGGGTCTGGGGGGTTCTGTTGGGTAGAGGAGGTTCTGAGGGGGCGGGGATTTTTTTGAGGGGCTGGGGATTGGTTGTTTGGGGGTTTTTTGGAGGTTTTTGTTTACGTGGATGGGCCCGACTGATGGTAATGGAGGGATGGGGATTTTTAGACGGTTTTGATTGTTGGGATTAATTATTAATTATATTAATAATATAATATCCTTCAAGATTAAGTTATCAATTATTTATTTAAGTAGTTAGTAATTTAATAATTCAACTGTTATGCGTTTGTGTGGAATTTCTATGCGTTGGGGGTTTT